TTTACATTAAATTATATTAGGAAACGATTTCAATATTTTCTTCTCTGAAAGATTGAATGCAAATATGCTAAAAATATAAAGAGTAGATAGTTAAAGCTCAATGGGCCAGCTAATCACTGCTACCAAAAGTGAACTTGACAGAATCCTTAAAAGTTGCGGATAAGCTGATTATGCTATTATCACTTTTACACAGGCCATTTAGATAATGTTTTCCAGCTACTATAACGGCGCACAAAGCGCCTTCAACCTTAGTTTAAATCTGTATCTAAATTCAGTCCCGAGCTGCAAAACTTTTAATGTTTCTTAAGCCGAACTTGAATTATTGATCAGATACTTTGACAGTGGTGCGCTGTGTGGGTTCCAGTAGAAGAATGTGGAGCACAGCTGCTGGCCCCTGTCTACATCGACCCACACACACACACACACACGCCCTTACCGCTGTTGCATCGTGTGCAAACAAATTTCCAACTCGCATGCTCCAAACTTATTTGATGCACTTCAATTCAAAGCGCAGCCAAACAGAGCAAAATCCATTGCAGCGAAAGCGACGAGCTCGGGCGACATTGATAAATGTTATTTTGCTAAACTATTTTTTTGCCCCTCTCTCTTTTCACTGGATCAACAATAAGAAAAAAAGGCGTCGTCACCAGGTTTTGGTTTCTTGGTGCGTGAAGGGAACCTGAAGAAGAATTTAAATAAAAGAAATAAAAAAATATATAAATTTAAATAGCATGAACAATTTTGTGTGCGCATAAATATTTATAGTTTAGTTTATTGGAATTCTTGAGAGAAATATAAATGAAATGGAATAAAGAAATATTTATATATGCTTGCTAAAGTTTATGCATGAAGTTGAGAGATAGAAGGAGAGGAAGATAGACAGATTGACGGAGACTGAGAGATAGAGAGATAAAGAAATAGAGCCCAGCGGTTTTATTTAATTATATATGTATACAAATATCTATTTCTCTTCTCTAATTGAAATTAATATAAATATTATTTTTGCCTTTTACAGTGCATTCAAATCTCTGATCACTTAACCCTTAAGCGACGTCGCATTTGCTTTCTAATTTAATTTTCAATTAAACTTAAAGCATAAATTAAAATTCGCACCGAAAGTGTTAAGCGCAAGCAGTTACCAAGCATTGTTGCTATTGTTGTTGTTACATTTTGTTGCCACACAAAATTGAAGTTTTTGGGGCCAAAAACTTTGGCGACTTTGTCGACTGCTGTTGCTGCTGCTGCTGCCTTTTGGCCGATGGCAGTGTCAAGTAACAGCAGCTGTTGCAGCAACTCAGCCCAGTCCAATCGCGTCGCAGTGGCTTGTGTGAGCCGACGTGGCATGCTCTCTAATTTGCCAAGTTTTTTTTCTGCATTGGCCAGGCCAAGATTACGGGGCAGGGACAAAGACAGAGAGGCAGCGCGAAAGAGACAGACAGAGAATGACAGAGAGTGAAGCTCAAGAGGCCGCGTATACGATAAGTCAAAGCTTTAAGTCAACGCTAAAAACCACATTAAATGCTAAAAATAAAACAATCAGCAGAAGGAGGAGAACGACTAACAAATACCCTGTAAGCAGTTGTGCCATTTACTCCTTCCTAAATTGTTTATTACTACATTATAGACCGAGCTAATAGATAATAGTTAATTATATTTTTATACAAACTCAATGTTACTAATGTATGATGTGCTATGATATATGTAGTATGATCGTATCATACCTGGCATATGGCATATGGCATAAAATCCAACCACATTCCGGCATAAGGCAGCTCAAATTTATGTCGTGTCACGCGGCGTATGTGTGATATATGTAATTTGAAGTCGTCCGGCATTGTGGCCCTCGGCAATTATAGCCAAATGCGCTAATGATATTCAATTTGAACAAGCTGCCTATTCAGCATTTTGTCAAAATGTCAGACGGCCAGCCAACAAAAGGGCTAATACGGGGCCGGCAACAATGAACGTCAAGCTGTCATAACGCCAGAGACAGAGACGGCGCCAGACACCGACTTCGAGCTGGACAGAGACGGAGATAGAGGCAAACCGAACAGAACAGACGACTTTTCCGGTGTCCTGTGTGAAGTGCAGCAGCTGCTTCGCCGTGAAATATAAATAAAAATATTATACAAAAACGACACAGCAATATATATACAATATATATAAAAAAACGTCATAACGGAAATCAAAGGACTGGGCGTGACAGAGAGCGACTGTTGTAGGGGCAAAGAAATCACTCAATTGGACGTCTAACTGACAGCCACACATTATCAAATATTTATGAGCAGCGAACGTGCAACGGCAGCTGACCGTCGCCGGGGGCGTTGTGCTGGGCGTGGCTGCGTGGCTCATTGAAAACATTTGGCCCCTCGCTCTAAAAGAGAGCGAGCGAAACTTTGACACCAACGCCCCAAATGACATTTCTGAGCAGCAGCAATGGAAAATACTCCTAAAAAAATGAAATTATTATATAACAAAACATCTGCTTGTAACGACACGAAAATATACAAGGAATAGAACGGGAACGGAGGAGGAGAGGGTGGCAGGTAGTGGAGTGGGGGTGGCTTGGCACACATGACTAGCCATAAACGCGACATACAAACCGTATTCTCATTTATAATTCAGCAAAGTAAAACATTGAAATAATGAAATTACACCTAAAGAATTTCCAAGGCGACATTTGAGATGCACAGTGGGCGAAGTAGCCGCAGAATGGGGCATATATGTGTTGCTCTATGACTATGACTATGACTATGACTATGACTATGACTATGACTATGACTATGAC